AGAGCCACTCTCATCACCTTTATCCTCAGCGCGACCTACCTCACTGTCACCTGCAAGCTTTGCCTCCTCAGCAGGATCTCTTATCGTGCTTGTTTCTTAATCATTGTCATAAACCAATAATGTTATCAAATATCGCTTAATCTTATCTGGCATCATACCCACATCACCAGGAACTCAAGTTTCATCTGACAAGAAGATAAGTCACACCATAACATACGTACATATTAAGTCGCGATAAGTCCATCTAAACTAAGGACAAACTGAGTCAAAGACAACGCAGGGCAGTCTTGTTTGGCACCACTGGGTGCTCCGCCCCAAAAATGATCAGACGCTTAATGGTGAATATAGTTATATCCGGATTAGTTCGAGATACTGCCCAGGAAAGAGCTACGGGGACTGGTCTTCGTGCCCAAGCACAGCCATGGTGTGATGCCCAGGTGATTTATGCGGAGGATAACCCAGAGCCGTATGGCGCGGGCGTACACAGACACTTAGCTTCCCGTTCTTTCTACTTTCCACGCACAGCTTTAAAGAACGTGAAAGTCGTGGCATTCGAACACCGGCCTCAACAATGAATAAACGATTTTTTATGAACACATGAAAAACCAAGAACATACACTTTGGAATGTGCTGCCCCATACATGCGTTGCACCGGGGTAGGGCTGAGGAGAATACGTCATTAACTTGTATCGTAGCCAGGGGACGGTAGAGCGACGGTGTTTCACCAGGGACATAGTCTCAGTGTTAGCGAGTTGTGCCACGTCGGTACTGTAGACCAACGGGGGGTGACTTTTGAATTTTATTTCTTGCAATGAATAAATCAAAAAGAGGAAACAAACGTATATATTTGCTTTTCAGCTTTTACATCAGAACCAGAGACTGACTTACCTCTACAGGATGTATTTAAATCAGTTTCTTTCGCATATATAAATCCTGCTTAGTCCTCATACATCCGGCTTTTGTAGGAGCTTTGTGAACTACCTGAATCGTACGCTGTTAATTTGATGAAGTATAGTAATTACTTGACCAGTTTTACAAGCATATTATATCAGGGACGTCATACATGCCAAAATTGGGGGATGGGGTGAAGCTGAAGTGGTGGAGGGGGAGGAGTAAATTATCACGTATTATTTATGACATTTTTAGGTAAAATCTTTCGAATTGTGATATATAATGAACATAATTACACATAATAAGAGAGGTACTGAAATGAGTTAGAATAAAGAGAAAAAAAATCACCAGGTACGACATTCGTTCTTCCAGCTTAAATGGGCATAACGCCACTGTATGAGAATGCCCATCCTTATTTTGCGCTGAGGTTTCATGTTCTTGGTAGCGATCTCTATACTGACTAGTGTCCATATCCATACACCCAACACTAATAACTCGAAAACTCTTCAATGCAAACCAGGAATAAATAATAATAAAAAAAACATAACGTGAGTAAAACAAGCTAGATACATTTAAGGAACGCATTGCCCTATTCGTCTGAGGGATGTTGAAATATATATTTCTTCTTCATTTATCTTCTTTCGTTTTTATTTGGAATTTTTTGACTCTAGGTTATTCATGGGAATAACGATACGGATGCTTATGCTCTACATGATAATGATAATAGTTACTAGATGCGTAATAGCAATTATAACGATGTACAAAGAAGATCAAGGTAATATTGACGATTCTCAAAATATTAAAAATTAAATTTGATTATAGAATTTCATAAACTAAACCTTTAAAGCAAAATCTGAAGTGCATGTCGACCAAAAAACCGTTTCTCGATCATTTGCTCTTTTGATGAGACCTTAGCCGGAAGAAGGAATTTAGGACACCTACGACCGCCTGAGTTCGGTCACGTCGGCCCAGGCACAATGCGGGCGGCGCTGGAGATCAAACGAAGAACGTCGAGTTGTTTTTCACCTGCAGCAAGAATGAACTTCAGGGCGAGAGAGACGTGCCTTGTCGCTTCATTAAAGGAATAAACAGATATTCAACTTTTTCACGGCACGTTAAAGTAGGTCTAGGCAGGGCAAAAAAGGGCAACATTTTGGTAGCCATTATTTGATTGTATTTGAAGATAATGGGTTTTAAAGCTCGATTTCTAGTATGATGACCATTAGAAGCCGTAACTACTTTATTACTGGCGTAGTTACTGGTAATTTGATAGTACGTTGTATTGCTTCACGAGTCACTTTTTTTGTTTTATTTGTCAAATGCAGTATCTTGCGATAATCAGCTGCACTTTGGAATAACACTTTGAGCAACTACTAGGTTACATGACAAAAATCGTAATCAAATTCTCATGCTGGTATTGTATATGACTTTGCCTTTATATGATTTTGGAAGAAACCTAGTAAGTTTTAGGAGAAGAAGAGAAAAAAAAAGGATCACCCCTTATAAGCATAATAATCATCTTATGTAAGAAAATGAATAATTCTGTACGTGTTTTGGGGAGATGAATAAGTCCTTTCCATATACGTTTCTCTTGGAAAGATACCCCCTTGACTGTCAATGACACAAGTCACGTTGTTGAGATCACACCACAGTGCAGTAGTGAAGACAGGTACAAATATAGATTTCACTTTGGATTTGTTTTGTCAATCTTGCTCATACATAGAGGACTTATCAAGGTCTTAGTTACCAAAGAGTTAATTACTTACCTTATCGTACCTGTTTACTACGTCATTGAATGTTCGGGATTATAAAAGAATATACTTTTACTGCATGCATTATCATTCTTAATGTTATTATTATGGTCACCGTTATCATTATGGTATTATTTTCAGTAATAATAGTGATAAAGATTTTAAAAAGTAATGGAATGGAGTAAACAGGTGAGGCCAGGTGAGCCTTGTAATTGACTTTTGTTTAATTTCAAAATGAAAAGAAAGATAGAAAGTGAATGTGTATGTAAGTATGCATAAACACATGTATAATATACAGACATACATGTATATATATATATATATATATATATATATATATATATATATATATATATATATATATATGTGTGTGTGTGTGTGTGTGTGTGCAAACACAGTAGAAGAAGAAGATGCAAACACACACACACACACACACACACACACACACACACACACACACACACACACACACACACACACACACACACATATATATGTGTGTGTGTGTGTGTGTGTGTGTGTGTGTGTGTGTGTGTGGTGTGGTGTGCGTGTGCGTGTGCGTGTGCGTGTGCGTGTGCGTCTGTGCGTGTGCGTCTGTGTGTGTTGTGTGTGTGTGTGTGTGTGTGTGTGTGTGTGTGTGTGTGTGTGTGTGTGTGTGTGTGTGTGTGTGTGTGTGTGTGTGTGTGTGTGTGTGTGTGTGTGTGTGTTTGTGTGAGTACATACTCTATAAAGTAATATAACATACATACTCAGAGTTTAAGATGAAATGATACACTGATCCTGCCTCTAGGTCTTGGCGAAAAGGGCGAGGCCGGTGTTTACATTATGTGGAAAGGGAAAATACGGTTCCAGCAAAATGATCGGAATGTCAGATTAGGTCACCTGTTGGCAGTCAGTAGACACAGGTCAGGTCATACTTAACCCGAGACAGAATGTAAACAAGTGACGTCGTCATGGATCTATCAGTACAGGAGGCCGAAACTTTGTCGGTTAATAAATGAAAAAAAACTAATGCGCAGGTTTTAAACAGTATGCGGAAAAAAAACAGATGACGCTAGCAGCTCAAGAACCCCAGCAGTTCTTTAATCCATCCATTAGATTCCCCGTTCTCCGCTAATGACAAGATAATATTGCTGTAATTCCTACCTGTGTCTGGAAGATCAGTCCTGGTCGTGGCGGACGCATCTTCCTGGCACAAATCAGTGCGAGACAGGCAGCAGTGCATGCTACTGTTATGACGGAAGACGAGACCACTGAAAGGACCTAAGACGTTGTTGAAAAAGATTACATCACATTTCCGCGAGTTCGTGGATAGTTCTGCAGTAGACCAATTTGTTTATGCTCTTTCATGGTCTTACCTGTTCCGAAAGCAACATATAGGTCTAGAAGTGGTCTGCATAGTTATCATAACCGTTGTCGAACGTACGTTTTGGAAAGTTATTATGTGTTGATTGAGCTGAACTAATATATAAGTATATTGGAAATGTAAATGAGCTTGTTAAGAAAAGACTATTAGTGATACTGTGTTATTTAAGATTTACATTTGGGTTTTAAGAAACGGAGGGATATATTTTATTTTCTCACTGATGTATAGGTCATTCTATTTTGCGCATATGCAGCACTTAAGAATGAATCATTTGTTCGCATTCCTACGCCCGTCATGCTTGTGCAATGGCATCTTCTTGGGGCATATAGTAGTTTATAATATAAATAATGTATATATATAGATGTGTGTGTGTGTGTGTGTGTGTGTGTGTGTGTGTGTGTGTGTGTGTGTGTGTGTGTGTGTGTGTGTGTGCGCCCGCGCGTGTGTGTGCATGTTAAAGCATTTGAGATGGTATTAAAAAACGTTTTATAATTATATATTTATTCATGTTTCATGCCGAATCATAATTATCATAAGAAATTAGCAATTTCAACTTAATGCTCTCTCTTGCCCTATCCTTGACTTTCATACCACCCTTCGCTCCCAACAAGTAATCTTTATCTTCTACATATTTTTTTTTTATAAGGATCAACTGTGGGGGATTAGACAGACGAATATTTGATCAGTCATGCAAAACAGTTACGTATTCGCCAACGACAGAATCCGAGATAAATTATATATTATAATAGAATTGAGCATAGAAACATAAAATATCCCTAAGTGGCTACTTCACAGGGACATTACGAGCCTAAAATTACATAATATCAGACACTACATATTATGTACATAGTTAAGTTGATTATAAATGATATTCTATTACACTATCCTTAAGGACAGTGAGATGGGATATGACTGGCAAAAGCAACTCTACTGAGCTACAACAAATGCTGACTGTTATTCAATAACAGCAGTTCCCCAACTTTTCTCGGCGC